AAAAGCTGGAAGTGGCGCTGTGGCTCAAGTGGTAGAGCGCTAGCCTTGAGCTGAAGAGCTGAGAGACAGCACCCAGGCCCAGAGTTCAGGCCCCACGTCCAGCAAAAAAAAAAAAAAAAAACATATAGAAAGTATGATCTCACATACATAAAAACCTGATTTATTAGCCAGGTACTGGTGGCTCATACTGTAATCCTAGCTACTCAGGAGGCTGAGTTCTGAAGATTAAAGTTCAAAGCCAGCCCAGGGAGGAAAGTCCCCATGAGACTCTTATCTCCAATGAACTACCCAAAACAGACAGATGAAGAGCTGTAACTCAAATGGTAAAGGACTATCCTTGAGCAAAAAGCTCAAAGATCATGCCCAGGCTCTGAGTTCAAGCCCCAGCACCTACACAAACAAATTTTTAAAAAGTCTAGAAAGCAGGGGAACTGAAGATAAACTTTTTTTTTTTTTGTCGGTTGTGAGGCTTGAACTCTGGGCTTGGGCACAAGGCAAGCGATCTACCACTTGAGCCACTTCAGGTTTTCTAGTGGTTTATTGGAGATCAGAGTCTCACAGACTTTCCTGCTCTGGCTGGCTTTGAACCAAGATCCTCAGATCTCAGACTCCTGAATAGCTAGGATTACAGGCTTAACTATTGTTTTTATCCAGTGAATGACATTGTTGTTTGAGGCCAGCTTCTGCTCTTTGTCTCCATCTCAGCATCTTCTCCAGATATCACTGCAGCCAAGGGTGTCTGAGCTTCAGGTTCCAGGAAAAGGAGACACCAGAACCAGGCTCTCCTTGCTTCTAGGACAGATCCAAGAGGCAGCAACACAGGGAGGAAGGAAAGCTCTCAAGGCCATTGGGACAGCCAAAGAAATATGTTTTTAGAGAAGGTACAATGCAGCCAGAAAGACACTTGTCATAACCAGAGGGAAGCCTCTGTGAAAATTATTCCAAAGGAGCTCTTCCTCAGGGCACAAGAGCATGGGGCAGATGCCTTGTGTAGTTAACCTCTTAACTAGGCAGCAGCCCAGAAGCCTGGAACAAAGATCTGAATTCATGGTTGTTGCTGGGCATGAAGGATGGAAGGTCTGAGCCTATATAAGTAAGCTACATGGTGAGATCCGTGCTCTAAAAAAAGAAAATAAATTTTTTTAAAAAATGAGGGGCTGGGAAGGTGGCTCAGTGGTAGAGCGCTTGCCTTGCATGCCTGAAGCCCTGGGTTCGATTCCTCAGCACCACATAAGCAAAAAGAAAAAAGCCAGAAGTGGTGCTGTGGCTCAAGTGGTAGAGCTCTAGCCTTGAGCTG